CAGCGGGGCTGGCCACGTAGCGCCGCGCTGCCGCAGGGTGACGAGCACTTAGCGTGGTGAGCCCAGGCAGAGAGGCAGCAGGCAGGAAGTAAAGGGGAAGTGTGGACGAACCTGGCTGTATGAGTGCACCGGGTGCACGCGCAGGAGGGGGGGGGGAAAGGCCGTGCCCGGGTGCCATGACGAAAACTGAATATGGCGGGAGGGAGATTAGACAGCGCGCTYGCTTCGAGGTGAGAACGGGCGGAGAGAAGTGCGTTCTACCATTCCAATGGCAGGCGAGTCCGACTGTAGAGTTAGTTTTGATAAACAGTTAGTGATTTAGTAGGCAGCAGTAAGCGGAGAAGGCAGCAGCGGGCGCGCTAGGCAGCAAGCGCTGAGTTCGGGTGCATATAAGGGGGTGAACCAGGCGCGGTTATGCGCCCGGGTACATTCGACAGTAGGGGAGATGTTGTAGGGACGAGTGTTAGGCGGAAGGTGGCAAGGCAGCAGTTACGGGCGACGGAGCAAGAACGGGGTATCAGAGGAGCGGGCGCAGCGCTGGGCAGTAGCGGTGGCAGAGCAAGCAAGCGGAAGGCTGGGTGCTTTCAGAGGATGAACTTGGGCGCATATGTGCGCCAGGTGCGTGCACGGAGATGGTGGAAGAAGGGAAGTAAGAAGAACGAATGATTCACCCGATTCTTGATGGAATCGGGCGAAACAAAGGTAGAGGTCACGGTTTTTCGGCATGACGAAACCGATGGTAGTGTTAGTTTGAATAGGGAGTCAGTATAATAGTGGGTTAGTAGAAAAATCGGTGCGCTAAAGCTACGACGGAGGTATGGAAGGAAAAGGGGGAGAATGGGCATAGCCCGCTCAATCCCGAGCGGATTCGGAGGAGGGGAGAGTCGTTCCTGGGGGGTTGGCCCTGGGCGATTTCAAATGATGGGGTTAGATAGGGGGGAAGAGTAAGTAAGTTTGGAGTTAGTAGTAGTAATGGGGTGCGCTGGTTGGTCGAAGGAAGAAAAGGGGGTGGATCTACCCGCGTCCTACCGAAAGATTCATTCCGACTTTGCTCATCCTATTGRTGGAAGTAGTGTGGGGTTTGACACGATGTTRRGAGACTTACCTGGTACGTAGAGACGGGAGGTGGGGTTGTCGTTGCGCGATGCGATCCGCTTACATGGGGTGATCGCGAATGACTCCCGCCAATTGGTCCGAGTGTTCCGGCTCGTCTTCGTCAACCTCATGGTCTCACCTTTGGAGAAGCTGGCGTTGCTGGTACGGGTGGCTCATGAGCCAGCGGGCRAAATAACCCATACTCAGAAAGGGGATAGCGGGCGCACGAGAGCGGGGTAGAGGAAACGAGATTGGGCTAGTTGGAGGCATGAGGTCGGAGGCAGATGCAGCCATACTGAGGTAGGAGTACGAACTTAGCCGCGCCACTGGCCAGGTGCATTGCGAGTAAGGGCATAAAARAGGATTACCTGCTAGTCGCAGTGCTGCCCGTACCGTAGGCCGAAGGAGGAGAAGGAGTTCGGGCAGGAAGGATACTTACTTGCTTCGGGCGCCTACGGAGGAGGACGGGTCGTGTGTCRCAGCAGCAGGATGTGTTGCAAGGCCTTGAACCTTATTCACAGCAACAGACTTTGTTTTACTTACCACTAAGCTTTCTGACGGTTGCTGGGGCTGCGAGTCTGAGGTGCCGCTTGTTACCGTGCATCTTGGCTGCTGCAGCATCCTTCGCCTCTCTA